GCAGATGGCGCGGGGACCCAAGGAAGGGGTAGAGGGCCCAGGGACCCAAGGAGGTGGCAGATGACACGGGGACCCAAGGAGGTGGCAGATGACACGGGGACCCAAGGAGTTGGCAAAGGACACAGGGACTGAAGGAGTTGGCAGATGACACAGGGACACCCCAGGTAGTTGTCAGGTGACGCATGGTCTTTGTGACGAGATGAGGCGGCCTCACCTTTATATGAGAGGCATTGATATAACCGGTGTTATTTTCTTTAGTTGGGACCAGTTCAACCCGAGTGTCATCGTAGGGAAGGACATCCTGGAACCGGTTCCGCTCGGCATTCTCAGGGAGCCGCGCTATGGAGCACTCTGTGTCGGGAAGTCTCTTCTTCAGGGTCTGTTCATACTCCGTGAAGACCATACCTTGTTCCAGTCGCTGCTCTAGGACCTTACACTGCGACATACATAAACAGGGTCAGATGGATGGTGTCAGGAACGTGCGCTCAGTCAGAGACAAGCTTGGCAACAGACATACAACAGAAGTTTCTTGTAGAAGGACAGATTGTGACTTTATAGTGTAGCCCCCATTACCCTTGAGGCCTGGGGGTGGGCATAGGCTGGTGTGACGGAAATGTTTCCCTGAGTCCTCCAACATGGAGGAGGTCTGTGTTGCTGATAGAGGAAGAGAACCGGGAATAATGATGACTCTTGAAGAATCCCGGAACTAAGGACTTCAGAAGCATGGGGGTGTCTCTCCTGTTGAGGATCTGTATGCATCCCGCTCATCTACTATTTCAGTTGCTGTCCGCTGCCTCCCAAGTGGATCTACACTGATATGCCAACCAAGTCTGGTGAGTCTGGAACTTATGTCTGTGACACCCTGGAAGCTTAGAACCCCCAATACCCTCCCTCCTCAGTGAAGATGTTCAATAAACCGTTATTCAGCATTTTACTACTGGAGGGGACATCAGTCTGTGGGCACCAGAAGAAGGACGGTTAGTGCTAATGGGTGGGCAGCTGAAGATCATCCCCTAGACAGACTAGAGAGAGGAACCGGGCACCCAGTGGCTCCTTCGGGGGGTGAGCGCTACAATTGAATGCGTAACCTGTGTGGTTACATCTGCCCGGAGTCCGGCTTTATAACATATCTAAGGTGACATTGGGTATTAAAGTTCTGCAGCCAAAGCAACATTTTGGGCCAGGATTTGGAAGGTTGAAAATGGTAACGGAACAAAGAACAAGGAGATGTGTGATTACCCGCTCATCATTGGATGCTTTTATACTCTGATGCTCCTCCCTCTCCTCGTCCGGTAGCGGCATGCGGGGCAGGACTAGACCGTTATAAGCGGCAAGCTTCAAAGGTCCCATTTTTTTAACGTCCGTTCGGATACCTTTTTTCATACCCTACGGAGGTAAACAAGTATAAGAGAGAGGGGCGGACAAAACAACACTACGGCTTTTGTGTATGAGGGCTGCAGCGAGACAAAAGTCTAATGAGAGATACAGGGGAGTCCCAAGGCTGGGTGACACCCGGAGCGGTGTCCGAGTGTCACCCCGCCGAGATGTCATCGCGCACAAGTGTTCTGATACCTGCCGGCGGCCATCTTGGTGATGGACGCCGGCAGAGAGAGGAGGGGACAGTCACCCGGCAGGATAAGGTATGCCGCCGGGTCCCCTCCTCTCTCCTGAAACTGATCATGACTGAGCGCCCGACTTTTCAGAGGGGGGTGACACCAAGATGACTGACAGTCATTTTGGTGTCACCCCTCTAATGGTGTCACCCCCCTACCCCCCCTTGTGACGCCACTGGAGGGATATACTGTCCGCCCGGAATGACAGCATACATAATAAATACACAACAATAGTTAAAGGAGAACTATGAGGTGAAAATCACTCCTCATAGTTCTAGCCGACGTGTGGCAATGAAACTGTCACAGGTCGGCTCAGTAGATCGGGAAGTGAGGGAACGCATACCGTCACTCGCTCACTTCTCGATCCTGTCCCTGCAGAGAGCGGTGACTGTCACTCCCCGCTCCAATTCTCCAGCGCTGACTGGCGGAACGGACGGGGGAGGGGGCGGGTACAGCTGGCTCTGTCTCTAGATAGGCAGAGCCAGCTGTCAGTCATGCAGCTGGGTGGATCCAGACAGTAATGTCGGGATCCGTCCCGGCTGCGGCGGTCTCAGTATACCGCAAGCTGTAGCTCACCAAATACTGAGCTTTGGGTCACGGGAGGACACTAGTATATGTCCTACCATGACCCTAAAGAGAACTACTATGGGGAAAAACAAACACTTACCCCATACTTCTCCTATAAAGCAGCTAAAATATTGGAAAGTTTTCCATCATCCAATCGATGTTATAATGACTGGATGTGTACTTACCCCTGAAGGTGGGAGACCCTCCACTATGTCCTTTTTTCCAGAGAGGACATCAGACACCGGCCTCTTCTTCACGGGCTCCTTTTTCACTCGATACGTCACTGTGCCGGCTGTGAGATTGGACTCGGACACAGAGGGAGGTATAGTGCCGCTTCCTCTCCTGTTGGACAGGAGGTCTCCCGTAAACTGCAGAGGGCTGAGAGTGGTCTGCCGCCTTTCTTTCTCCACCTCCACTGGTTTGTGTTCATAGATATGTAGATGATTGACCGGCACGGAGCTGTATGGGTAGCTGGGTTCCGACTCATCTGGATAGGTCTCCATGACGGTTCGGAGCTGGGAACGGTCGTATTGGGCCGTTTGAGAGATGTTTGTCCTGTTGTCTTCTTCCTCGTTATCTTCATCATCATCCTCACTGCTGTGAATGAGCATGGTGGCGTCCGAGAGAGACTTCTTGTGCCCATAACGGCCTCTTTCCTGCTCAGCACCTTGCTCCTCTTTCGCGCGCTCAATGTAAACGTTTGTTGGCGAATCCGTTGCCACGATCCTTTGCGGCGCCACGTTGGCGGCAGAAGAAGACGCGGTCCGCTCTTTAACCCTCATCCCTTCGAAGCTATGAGTGAGCCCGGCGATTTCTATGCTGTTCCTCTTCTGCAGTTGGGCATGGCGGACTACGGTCAATGGCTCACTGACTTCTTGCAAGGAATGAGCTACCGGAAGACTATCCTCTTGGAACATCTGCACCGAATGGTGGACCCTCCTGGCGATGAGGTCGGGGTTACTGCGGCTTGTGTGATGTCGGGTTAGATCCGGGGTGCTGTTGGCTGGACGCGGGTATGGATATGGAGGAGGAGGCCGGTATACCTGAGTTTTCATGATGTTGGAGGCTGGGTACTCTTGAGCCTGCAGTTGGACGTTGGTCAGTTCGGGGACACTTACTGCTCCCACTACAGGGCGCCGCTCGGCCTGGTAAGGGTAGGGAGATTGGCTGTGGAAACTATAGTTCATATTAAAAGGATAATGGTGGGACTGGTGGGAGGTGAACTGGGCATGTTCTCGGATCTCAGGCTGACTGTACACCAAAGCGTCCGGCCGACTGTAGGCATAGGAGTTTCCGATGTTGAGGTTCCTCATTGAGTGGCTCTGCCTGTCCGAATGCATGACGCCCCTGTTCAGCTGCCTCATCACCGTCTCATAGTCAGGAGTCGGGCGGTAAGAGGGAGGGATGAGGGCACTGTGCCGGTGGGTGGGGATGTACTCCTGCCTCATGATGTCACTTCCTGTAATGCTGGGATTGGAGGACATGGGCGATGGCTGCAAGTAGTGTTGCTGGGTGTTGAGGGAGTTGGTGCTGTGAGCGCTATAGACGCTGCCATTCCGGATTCTGCCGTTGTAGTCGTGAGGGCTGCGGTCGAGGCTGGTCTGGGAGTGATAGTAATATCCATTCTGATTGTTCACAAATACAGGGAGATTGTCTGCAATAGTTCAGATGCAAACAAAGATAAATAGCTGGTCATAGACAGTCTCTGCAGATATTCTTTCTAGATGTGTTATCTATTTAGGTCATTTAAAAACTGAATACCAGCAGTAGGCTAGAAGGGGCTCATTTATAAATCTACTTCCCACCCAGCTATATGGCATTACTGCCACTAGATGGAGACGAGAAGCACAGGAAATCCCTATCTTCAGCTTGTTCAGTTAGGACTCATTGACACGAGAAACGGCCGTATCGGGCAGCTCCCGGGAAGGACAGGTGCTGCGTGTGATTAGTACGCAGCCCCGTCCTTCTCTATGGGACTACGCGGCCGTACGCCGCCCTACGCTCACCCGCCCTGCACGTCCGTGCGGGTGTCCGTGCTCGTACGCTGACAGGATGGATCTGGTCTGCGTCCGAGCCGGGACACCCGCACCCGTACGGACCTGCACTTGGGGTGAGCGTAGGGCGGCGTACGGCCGCATAGTCCCATAGAGAAAGACGGGGGCTGCGTGCTAATCACACCCAGCACCTGTCCTTACCGGGAGCTGCACGATGCGGCCGTGCACGCAGCACCTGTCCTTACCGGGAGCTGCACGATACGGCCGTGCACGCAGCACCTGTCCTTACCGGGAGCTGCACGATACAGCCGTGCACGCAGCACGGAGCTGTACGTCCCGGCCGTTTCTCGCGTGAATGAGGCCTTAAGCTTTGAAAATAAAAATTAGAAACCGGTTGCCATGCACAGCTGCTCCAATATATGTCTTAGTAAATTCCCGACAGTGCAAATTTAGAAAATATTAAACGTCTGTAGTACCGCAGACCTAAGCACGTATCTTTGCAGCGTGGTTTTTTGGATTACGTCTAGCAATGGTTTTACATTCCATCTTGAAAAAGAGGCGTCTTCCCCCAGTTTCTGCTATAGGGTGTCTCCACCACCTTGCAGAGCCAAAAAACTGGATGCTCGCTCCAAGATGGGTCTACATCCGAGCGTCCCTACCCTTCACGTGTCCACAAGACTACAGCGGCAAGCCACTACTCTGCTCCTCCCACCTCCAGAAGCTTGAGGCTAGTGTCACACCTAAGCGACTGAGCTGGTGAGCTGTTGTCACGCGGTTTTCGCACGATTTTGCTTTGAAAACTGCGCGGTTTTCAATCCACAGAGATGTCTATGGGACCCAAACCGCGCGACAGCCGCCCGAAAATCGCTCCTGCACCTAAAAACGTGACAGGCGATTTCCACCGCGCGACAAATCGCAAAAGGTGTGAACCTAGCCTGAGCCTGCGCTGTCCAAGCGACTAGCGCCCTGTGATGTAATCAGTGCGCATGCTTCCCTATGCAAATGATCAAGGAAACAGCTCAGAGCGCTCCAGAGCCGGCACCAGTGATTACAAAAAGCGTAGCCCAAAAATAATTTAAAAACTGCAGAACGTTTACCTCATCGAACAGGACGGATTAAAAAAAAAAGTGTTTACTACTGTGACGATAATGGGGGTCCGAGTCTGAATGTTAAAAAAAATAGAATGCTTTTGTTTCCCAGCCAGAGCAAATGCAAGGCCTTCAGTTAGTCATTTGCCAGGCCTTCCACATTCCACAGAGCAGAGATCTGCTATCTGGCTGTGATCTTTTATTGCCCCCTAGCAGAAGTGAGCCTCTAAGCCTTTTATGGCTGTCCCTAATTGAGAGGTGAGCGAACGCCGGTATGTGTTCGCTCACCTCCCGATCTACTGAGCCGACCTGTGACAGTCTCATTGTCACAGGTCGGCTAGAACTATGAGGTGAGTGAAAAGCACCCACATCATAGTTCTCCTTTAATATAAACAAGCAGGTCTGGTAGGTGGTGACCCCCGCATTTACTACTACTTTAAGTATCGTTTAATTTGGGTCTGTGTTTACTTTAAAAAGATCAAAATCATAATTTAAAAAAAACAAACTAAATGATAGAAATTCACCTTGTGACGAGGTATAGGGCTCGTTGTAGTGTCCATTGTAGTGCATCTGTGGAGGGGGCATCATATAAGGCTGGTGCTTCGGCTGCGAACATTAAGGAAATGTCAGATTTGTTATCTCTTGTATGTTAAAAAAAAAATACATTTTAAGTGCATCTAGTAAATAGTTTGATACTTTGTACAAATTGTAAAATGTAAATTTTCTTTTTTTTCAAAAGGCAAAAAAAAAACTGCAAATCATTTTGAAATTTAGTTGCAGTTTTCTTGCCTTTGGAAATAACAGAAAAGCAGACAAGTGATCGACGTAATATAAACATCCGTCTCAATTTGTATTATTGTTCTAAACACCCTTCTAATGATCTATGTAGATGGGGAAGCCAGATGTAGAGATCACACCAAGACATTAAAGTCTATCTACAGTATACCGCTGTTTCCCTGAAAATAAGACCTGGTACTATTTTTGCGAATTGCTAAAATATAAGACCTACCCCAAAAATAAGACCTAGTTGTGACCATTGCCAGGGCCGGTGGTGGCATAAGGGGGAACCTGAAGAGCCGCGGGAGAGAATCAGCGGTGCCAACGAAGCCGGCGCTAGAGGAAGCGAGGCGGCAGCGGAGGGAGCAGAACAGCATTAGCCGATGCCTCCTCTATAGCGCCGCCTCCTGTCACAGGCGGAGTGATGCCAAATGCGCTCCCCGCCTGTGAGGAATCCATAGTGAAAGCGCACTTCGCACATTCTGGCCAGCGATTGGTTACCAAATTTCTCTTGGAAAGGTACGGCACCCCCTGATTGCCCTGATTACAATATTCTTGTACATGAATAAGTGTAGATTGTTGTACATAAAAATAAATAAATAAGACCTTCCCCGAAAATAAGACCTACCCCGAAAATAAGACCTTCCCCGAAAATAAGACCTACCCCGAAAATAAGACCTAACCCGAAAATAAGACCTACCCTGAAAATAAGACCTAACCCGAAAATAAGACCTAACCCGTAAATAAGACCTAACCCGAAAATAAGACCTCCCCGAAAATAAGACCTCCCCGAAAATAAGACCTACCCCGAAAATAAGACCTACCCCGAAAATAAGACCTACCCTGAAAATAAGACCTACCCCGAAAATAAGACCTACCCCGAAAATAAGACCTACCCTGAAAATAAGACCTAACCCGAAAATAAGACCTCCCCCGAAAATAAGACCTATCCCGAAAATAAGACCTACCCCGAAAATAAGACCTAACCCGAAAATAAGACCTACCCCGAAAATAAGACCTACCCTGAAAATAAGACCTAACCCGAAAATAAGACCTATCCCGAAAATAAGACCTAACCCGAAAATAAGACCTAACCCGAAAATAAGACCTACCCCGAAAATAAGACCTACCCCGAAAATAAGACCTATCCTGAAAATAAGACCTAACCTGAAAATAAGACCTAACCCGAAAATAAGACCTATCCTGAAAATAAGACCTACCCCGAAAATAAGACCTAACCCGAAAATAAGACCTAACCCGAAAATAAGACCTACCCCGAAAATAAGACCTATCCTGAAAATAAGACCTACCCCGAAAATAAGACCTAACCCGAAAATAAGACCTATCCTGAAAATAAGACCTATCCTGAAAATAAGACCTATCCTGAAAATAAGACCTAACCCGAAAATAAGACCTATCCTGAAAATAAGACCTAACCCGAAAATAAGACCTAACCTGAAAATAAGACCTAACCTGAAAATAAGACCCGGTGTGTTTTTTGAGCCAAAAAAATATATAAGCCAGTGTCTTATTTTCGGGGGGACACGGTATCAGTTTATAAAATAAAGGTCATAGCAGTTGCCTTACCAGCGACATTCTGGTCGATGACCTCCGACGCACTGGGTTGACGGCCGGAGTTTGCCTGCGGAGAAGAGGTTTTTGGTGAGTAATATTCGGCAGATCAGGCCCAGGTGAAGGCGCTCACGTTGAACACCCCGAATGGGGCAGCAAATGCAGACGCTGAGGAATTCACACAGGCATAAAAAAAAAAACATTTCCATCTGTATCACCAATCTGGGGCACCTAATGTGCTCGGACAGCGGACTCCACAGACCGACTTCGATTTTCAGCTGATAGAGAAGCAGCACACGAGCGTCAATGATCCAGCCGTGCGGCGGCTATTACACCCAACAACCTTCTATGTGTCCGGAGAGCCAAAACATCAGCCGGGCTGACCCGAAAAAGAGAAACGATCATAACAGCACACAAGCCGCAGCATGCTCTGCCACAGCAACCGGAGGTATGTATGTGAGGTAGGGACCTTAGATTGTAAGCTCCCTAAGGGCAGGGACTGATGTGCATGTGCGCGAATGTAAAGCGCTGCGCACATTGTAAGCCCTCAGAGTGCCATTGCAGCCATTATGCCGAGGACGAGCACTATTCTACCGATGCAGCACAAGAAACAGGCAGTGCAAGCGGCAGGAGAGACGCAACTGTTACATTAGTACAGGAAGGAAAGGATGAGGGTAAGGGGTAGTTCCCTATTGTTACATTAATACAGGAAGGAAAGGATGAGGATAAGATGTAGTTCCCTATTGTTACATTAGTACAGGAGGGAAAGGATGAGGGTAAGGGGCAGTTCCTTATTGCTACATTAGTACAGGAGGGAAAGGATGAGGGTAAGGGGCAGTTCCCTATTGCTACATTAGTACAGGAAGGAAAGGATGAGGGTAAGGGGCAGTTCCCTATTGTTACATTAGTACAGGAGGGAAAGGATGAGGGTAAGGGGTAGTTCCCTATTGCTACATTAGTACAGGAAGGAAAGGATAAGGGTAAGGGGTAGTTCCTTAGTGTTACATTAGTACAGGAAGCAAAGGATGAGGGTAAGGGGTAGTTCCTTAGTGTTACATTAGTAATGAAAGGATGGGGGTAAGGGGTAGTTCCCTATTGTTACATTAGTACAGGAGGGAAAGGATGAGGGTAAGGGGTAGTTCCCTATTGTTAGATTAGTACAGGAGGGAAAGAATGAGGGTAAGGGGCAGTTCCCTATTGCTACATTAGTACAGGAAACAAAGGATGAGGGTAAGGGGTAGTTCCCTATTGCTACATTAGTACAGGAAGGAAAGGATAAGGGTAAGGGGTGGTTCCCTATTGCTACATTAGTACAGGAAGCAAAGGATGAGGGTAAGGGGTAGTTCCTTAGTGTTACATTAGTACAGGAAGCAAAGGATGAGGGTAAGGGGCAGTTCCTTAGTGTTACATTAGTACAGGAAGCAAAGGATGAGGGTAAGGGGTAGTTCCTTAGTGTTACATTAGTACAGGAAGGAAAGGATGAGGGTAAGGGGCAGTTGCCTATTGTTACATTAGTACAGGAGGGAAAGGATGAGGGTAAGGGGTAGTTCCCTATTGTTAGATTAGTACAGGAAACAAAGGATGAGGGTAAGGGGTAGTTCCTTAGTGTTACATTAGTACAGGAGGGAAAGGATGAGGGTAAGGGGCAGTTGCCTATTGTTACATTAGTACAGGAAGGAAAGGATGAGGGTAAGGGGTAGTTCCCTATTGTTAGATTAGTACAGGAAACAAAGGATGAGGGTAAGGGGTAGTTCCTTAGTGTTACATTAGTACAGGAGGGAAAGGATGAGGATAGGAGGCAGGTACAGACTTCCTTTGTCTGAAGCGGTTGCTCCGGCTCACCCTTTGGGCAGAGAGGGACGAGACAGAATTGGGAAACGTTGGAAGGAGAGAAGAGAGAGAGATTTCTGAGGCCCATCCGCAGGAGGAGGAGGATCGGGGGGGTCCCTGAGGATAAAGACAGAGGTGAGGAAGACAAGGGGGACTCACTCCGGATCTAAAGGCCTGTCTGTGTACAGATGGGATATCTAAGATCTCCGCTCAGGCGGTACGGCCGCGTAGTCCCGTAGAGAAGGACGGAGGCTGTGTACTGATCATATATATATATACACACACACACACACACATATATACAAATAATTTATTATGCTGTAGGTTTTAAAAAAAACAAAAACGTTCAATAGATGCCAAGCTGAATGACGGAAACCATCAGGGCTGTAGCTACCATGGGGCGAGTGAGGCACTCGCCTCAGGCGCAGCTGAAAGGGGGCATAGCCAGGGCCAGCTTGGCTGTGCCCCCTTGCCCCTGGCAACAGGGGCACCAGGCAGCCACTGCTTGGCAGGGAGAAGAGGAGCAGCACAGGCTGCAGCTTCTCCTCCGATCCCCGCCTGGAGGTGGGGCGCATGACGTCACATGATGACGTACGTGTGCGGCGTTGGGTGACATCACACATCTGTTGGGGGGGGGCACAATTTTCTGTTCTTGCCTTGGGTGCAAAAGGAGCTAGCTAGGGCTCTGGAAACCATAGTGAATGAAGTTAAGTCAGTCAAATGGAGTTCTGATTGGTTGGCTATGTTACTATGATATACATTGGTGGAAGTCTCATTGGTGCCGATATCCCTTTAACAATGTGTAAAGTTTCCTCCGCTGGGGGTTAGTAGGAGACGTGGGGACAGCCGGCCGCAGCTGTGAATCCTTCTTAGTGACCCGGGGACCAGCACAGATGTCCCAGAGAAAGGGACCCCTTCATACAGGGGGACACAACCCGTCTACAGAGGAGGAGGAGGGGGAGAGACAGGTGGCTGGCGGACCCACAAAGGCTCCCTGTCTGTCCTACACGTGTCCCGTCTGTTTACATACAGAGCGGGATCTATATAGACACAACAGCTGCTGGCTGTAATGACCGCCACACAGACCGTCATGTTGTACACATAGAGAGACCACAATGGGGCCCCTTCATTTCTTTCACTCCAGGTCCCCACCGGGGCCACATAAAGCCTGAAACCGCACGCAACCCCCCCC